ACCAGAGGTTGCTGATTGGTCTACCATAAACACCTTAAACAGAGCTTCTAAACGTCTTCACCCCGAAGGAGTTTTACTAAAGGAGAGTTTTTTAGAGACCTAAAGAACTACAATTAAAACAGGAAACACTATAAAAACTACACCCAGGATAATATAATACTTTTACAACCACAAAGTTTTTGGTCTGCAAAATATTTTTTAAATATTCTTTCTGCATGATTTGGATCCAGTGTCTTCTCTTCTGTGGATCACTGATCTGTTGATTTTAATAATTAGATTTCAGATCTGGATCGACGACACGCCAGAACAAGAAGGCCAACACACGCACACACATCTGGACGTCTGTCTCTGCAGGTATTTCTGTGAGAACGCCGCTGATACATTATCGTACGATCAGGTGTGAGACGGCAGGCGGGTAAAAACAGCGCTGAGGGGAAGCAGTCGTTCAGATCAGCCGACCTTTGGGGGGGGGTCTGAGGTCGACGGGATGATGATGCGATGGGGGCGGCTCGTGAGCACGCTCTGCCAACGTGCCGCAGCAGAGATCACTGCTGCTCTCCGACGCTGACTCGGTTAATCTGTCACTCATCCCCCGCGGGATTACTAAAAATACACTGATCAGCCCCGGGGTAATTGGATTGATGTGTGTGTGTGTGGGTGTGTGTATGTGTGTGTGTCGGAGTGTTTTCAAAGATTTGTTGATTCGAGTGTTGTTCGGATGAGCCAGACGGACGGAGCGCTGTTCTCCTCTTTCAGTCCGGAACGTGAGAGAATAACGTTCATGAGAAAGTCTTAAAGAGTTAAACGTCTGTGAGCGCCCGTTTGTTTTTTTTATAATTGACTTAAATGATCAACAGCTTAACGACAAACTGAACTCACTTCCTCTGCAGGGTCACAACAAAAGCATCGTTGTCACACCGCGAGACAGAAGGTCACCTCGAGGTCGACCTGCTGACTTTCATTCAAACACATCAGAAATATGTCCTCAAACACCGAGCCGTTGTTTCACTCATGTCAACAACAAGGTGCTGATGACCATGAAGAAACATCAGCTGACTCTGACCAGTCTGATGTAAACACAGCGTCACGCCGCTCGGGGTGGACCAGTAACATCTTCATCATCTTTCAAACCTTCATTTCTGTTTGTGCGATAAAGAAACCTCTCGTGTTGAAGAGTGAAACCAACGCTGAAGAACCAAAAACATCTTTGTGGGAAACCCTGTAACAACGTCATGACTGAGGTTTTGTTGTGTTGGTTGTGTTTGTGTGAATAAGTGTGCCGGCACCAGGAGGTGATTGGTGAGTCCACTTCCTGCTCTGGCAGGTGATAGGCTGCGACGGAGGTCGTTCCCCTATTTAACGAGATTATAAGGCCTCATTCACTGACTGTTGTTGAAGGCAGGGTTGGTAGTTTTAAGAAAACTAGTATGATTTTAAAAAGTAGCATTCCCTCAGTGCTCCGTCTGCACCCCCTCCCCTCTGTGCTCCCTCTTAAGCCACGCCCCCTCACTTACATGCCTCAGCTCATCTCTGTCATTGTGTAGAAACTCCGTCGTCTCATGTCTCATTCAGCGGTCAGTAAACTCACAGTATAAACAAGAGGTAGAGCAGGGAGACAGGGAGGCGTCTGATTGGTTCATCAGATGCAGCTGCATGACTCTGAGCCTCCCCCCCCCCCAGCTGACCTCTGACCCCCCTTACCTGATGAGATCGAGCAGGGCGTCGGCCGAGGTCATGACCGGCCCGCCTCCTAGACGGTGACTCTCCATATCCGTCCCCACGCCGGGTTTGATGATGATGACGAGCACGATGCCGACCACCACGGCGATGAAGGTGGTCCACAGGTAGTACGTGACGGTGAGGACGCCCATCCGACAGCACGCCTTCGACTCCATCGACGACAGACCCGACATCAAACTGAACACACACAGAAACAGGTTAGTGTGGTTAGCCTAGCTTAGCATGGAAGCGGATGGAAACTGTTAGCCTCATCAACGATGCAACGCTTTGAGTTCAGTAAAAACTGTTTGAGTGTTCATGATCTGGTACGTTAAGGTGTGATACACTTTGTCTTGGACACAGTCCACATGTAAACAGAGAAGCTCACACGGACGTACCTGGACGTGATGAGAGGAAGGATGAGCATCTTCAGCATCCTCATCAGCAGCTCTCCAGGAAAAGAGAAGTAGATTTTAGCCTGCGGGGGAAAAAGAATAAATCACAGGTCATCATTTTCAGATCTGCTCGCTGCTTCAGGAGTCAGCTGGACGTTTTTAGTTTCTAAGAACAAAGACAAAGTGGTCCGGTTTTGGTTTCACTCCACAGCTCTGGGTGAAGGACTAAAGGCTCATGGGTAATGTAGTGTTTTAAAAGACAGAGCTGAGGTAATAACAAACTGCTTCGGTCAGTTTAGTAGGAGTGGTACTTTTTATTTTCTGACCTGGAGGTTGAGGCATGTATGACCCCGTGTGTTTCTGACAGCTGACGGCTCAGGAGTCACCTCAGCTGAGTGACGTATCAGCACAACAAACATGGCGGCAGCAGGAACAGAGTCTTCCTCAAGCCCCCGGGAAGAGCGCCAACCGTTGAAGCCTATTTTACATGGTGGCTGAACCTGGTACTGCAGCATCATGTGATTCCTTTAGACCCAAAAGACTTTTCCCCATAAACTTACATTTGGAAAGAGACGTCTATAAATCAGAGGAGACGTTCTTTTTTAGGTACATCAACTTCCTGAGACTAACACTTAAATAACCCCTTTTCAAATCTTTAGCTCCTAAAATGTTAAATTCATTCAAAGCTGAATTCAGAGACATTTTGTCGACATAATGATCGCACATCAGAGCCTGACACTCTAAGTGAGCGTGCTCAAAACGCTGAGCAGCTTGAATGAACGTGGCTCCGCCTCCAATGATGCATCCTCTTCTATAACACATCCATGATCTTCCTCCTGGAGCGACGTGTGACGGCCTCACGGTCAACCTCTCTACCTGTTTGTGTTTCCCCTCTGCTGGCTCTGTTTTCCTCGTTGCAGGTGGATGTGGGCGGAGCCTGAGAGGACAGCAGCACACCTGAGCAGGTCTGCTTCATGGGGGCTATGAAGCAGACCTGCTCAGTCCTCTCACTCTCTCACCCCTAGTCTGCAGACACACACACACACACACACACACACACACACACACACACACACACACACCGGCTTCCTCACCAGTTTACATCCCTTCCTCCTCTGGATTTAGGACACTGAAGGACCTTTTAATCTCAGCGGACTCCTCTGAAACAGGGCAGACTTTCACATCGTTGTGTTTCCTGACCTCAATGTTCAGCGCGCTCTATATTCAGACTGAGAGCGGCAAGGATCAATACTTCCTGGAAAGACTGTTCATAGACGACGAGCTGCGCTATTTTGAGCTCCCTGTTAAATCACTCGCTGTGTTGTGCTTGATTTATAGGACTCTATTTAATGTTGATAATTAAGTGAAGAAGCTGCTGTTAACACGGTCAGCTGGTATGAAGAGTGAAGAAGTTTAAAGAATTTTATGTCCAAAGTCCAAATCCCCCCAAATATTTATTTTATCAGAAATGTAAAGAATATAAATTATCTTTAACTTTCTTACATTTCTCTGATTGTTCTTATTTTTCCTTATAAAGGAGCAGTATGTAACTCTGACCCCTAGTGTTTAAAATGGGTACTGCAGTCTAAATTCTAAACATCATAGAGAGCTGTCTCCCCTCTCACTCAGGTCACCATGTGGTGGACTCTGAAGCTTCAGTGTTTATCCAGCTCTGCATGGGTCTGTAAACCTTTCTGTGTTCTAACCTCTCTCCATTTTTCAAAAGCATCTCCAATATTGATCCTAGTTTGAGCACGTTTCTGCTCGTGGAGCTTATTAGAAACATGCAGAGGCTTTTTAGGTCGGGTACAATCACTTCTATCTGAACCACTTCTCTTGACCGCTTCCATTGCTGCAACACCTGTTGACCTGATAACTGCTCTCATATCTGACAAACCGAGGGGCGTCCAAAACGGCCGTGTGGGGGGGGGGGGGTCTTAAAAGCGCCTACCTTCTCTGGTCCAAACAAATCCAGAGCATTCAGGAGCAGAATGTAAAGTTAGAAGGAGGACATACTGGCTGCTGCATTGTTGTCAGAGAAGCCAGCACTTCAACATAGCATGTTTCCTTAATGATCAGAGAGTAAGATACCTTTATCATCTCACTCTCTACACAGCTCACTGATTGGACCTTCAAGGCTTCACATATTGAACATATGTTCAATGATTACTGCATGCACACAATCATCTGATATTTCATAGTAAATAAAACAGATTTTGGCATTTTGTTCACAATAATAACTTTTCCTCTGATACTTGAAGTGATCATGAAGACGTGCATGTGAACTTTAGTCATTTAAATGTTTGGGCACTCAGACTTTAACTTCTCTAAAGTATCTGAGTCCGTTTGAAACAGTAAACACATGATTCTGGAGATGACGGGCACATTTTAGCGACATGTTTCTCTTGAGAAATGTGCAACAGAAAATATCTAACATGTTGTTGCTGTGTGTTAAACTGCTGGATCATGTTGGGTCACATCCAGTTGATAAAATAATGTTCTGGTAATTGTATCACTGTCTTAACACCTTAAATCCTTTTGTGCTTTATTTCGGTCCGGTCTAAATACGTTGACCTTTTCTGTTTGTTCCCAGAATAACTGCGGAGCTCAGCGCTCTTTATTTACCTCGCTGTGTTTTATCATTTAATGTGAACTAATCTGACAGCGAGCAGAGCAGACACAATCGGCTCCGAGTTAGCAGCAGAAAGTTCTTAAGAGGCTGACAGCCATTAATTGAATGGAGGGATTAATGGTGGTGGATTTGGACGGGCTGCGGTCTCCCTCTGTGTCGGTAAAGCTCACTAAACAAGAACACCGTGATCCTGCATCCCGCACAGAATGAAGGGGTCAATTTAAAGGCAATATCTTTTTAAAGGAGCAGTATGTAACTCTGATCCCTAGTGGTTAAAATGGGTACTGCAGTCTAAATTCTAAACATCATAGAGAGCTGTCTCCCCCTCCTCCTCTCTAGAGTGGATGCTCACTCAGGTCACCATGTGGTGGACTCTGAAGCTTCAGTGTTTATCCAGCTCTGCATGGGTCTGTAAACCTTTCTGTGTTCTAACCTCTCTCCATTTTTCAAAAGCATCTCCAATATTGATCCTAGTTTGAGCACGTTTCTGCTCAGCGATGCAACACAACCGAGCCGAGTGGAATATTGAAGAAGAAGAAGAAGAAGAAGAAGAAGAAGAAGAAGAAGAAGAGCAGCTTGTGGAGTTATGTCAACAACACGAGTGTGTCTTCATAATACAAGGCCATATGCTGGACTTATGAAGTAACATATGACGTCATGTTTGATCAAGTGATGTGAGCACGAGAAGGTTAAGGTGCTAATGAGTGACGTCACCCATCTGTTACTGCAGGGGGCGCTGGAGAGCCATCGATAAGTCCCCCCTCTGTTTGTCTCTATCCTTCTTCCTGCATCTTCCTCTTTTCCATTTTTCAAGCCCGGTTCAGTTCATCATGAGTCTGGTTCTGCTCGAGGTTTCTGCCTCTTAAAGGACTTTTTTTAACTTTTGCTAAATGTTGCTAAGTGCTAAACTCATGATGGATTAACGCTCTGTCTTTGTGAGATAACAAAGAGTAAGGTCTTTTACCTCTTCCTCTGTAATAATGAATTGGTGCTCTACAGATGAAGATGAACAGATTTTGTTGTTGTTTAAAGTTAACATTAGCCAATAGCAGTTAATGACAGAAAATTCAAACATGGGGCGCCAGTAGCCTGGTTAGTGTGCACGCCCCGTCAGCGGAGGCTGTAGTCCTCATGTTTTTGACTCTATCCATCACCATATCTCTACATAAAGACATTAAAAGCCCAAAAATAACCCTTAAAAAAACATAGTAATCGGCCATAACCGTTAGCTAGCTCGGAGGCTAGCTCAGCTAGCTGTGCTGTGCGGGAGGGGCATCAAAAATTGGAACAAATCAAGTAATCAAAATTTTAAGTGGTTAAAAATATTTTTAAATTAAGATTACGTTCTAAAGGTTTGTGTCTCTGTTGGGCCTCGTTTAGTGTGACAAAAGGAGAGTCGAACAAATGTGAGAACTTTTCTATGTTTACTGTCCTGAATGAATCTGATCAAAATAAAGTGTCAACAAGGAGCTTACATTTAACTTACAAAGAAGGTGAGTCACTACAGAGACAATGATGGGAATACTTTACAATAAACCTGCAGGAAAGTTTCCTAAAAGAACACGAGTGTGACTCATTATGGGAAATAAGAGGAGAGAGTGGACAGAAGATTTAAAGGAGAGGATGCACACGAGTCTACGGTGACATTTAAGACCAGTTTGGAGGACGGTGAGAAGAACTCAAAAAAATCTGACAGGAAGTTGTAAAGAATCAAGTTTTTAAAAGAATAATTCAGGAAGTTAAGTCCTGAAGGAAGTTAATGTGAAGGTAGCAACAGAAAACTTAAGTCCCGGCAGGTGAATCTGGACACAGATTTAGAGTACAGGATCAAGCCGGTGGCTGTTTGAAAACATGCGTGTGTCAGGTGAGTCGTACCTGCGAGGACAGCTGAGTCCCCCTCAGCATGAAGCCCAGGGTGCATCCGGTGATCACAGAGATGACCGACAATGCCAGAAGCCCGTGCCTCTTACAGACATCCCTCACTTTCCTCCGTGGCTCCCCGTTCTCCAGGTGGAACAACGACTTCACCCGGTCCCCCATCGTCCTCCCTGCGTCTCCCGGAGCGTATGAGCTCTGGTCGGATCGCGCCTCCTCCTCCCCGCGCGGTAACAAAAGCTCCTCCATGCCAAGTTTCGGGTCCGGCCTCCTCTCTGTTCCTTTGGTGCTGGCAGCGTGACAAACCTGACAAAGCCAAAGAACCTTTTCCACTTAGGGATTAAATCACGGTCCGGTCAGAGGCAAGTGCAGCCTTCAGGCTGCCTGCAGGCACTAAGAGGCTTAAAGAGGTGGACTGAAGCCTGACACGCCTTTGTTGTGGCATCTGCTGGACCTGGTCCCTGGAGCCGGTCCACTCATTGTTTCTGTTTGACTCCCTTTTGGCTGCAGGTGGGAATCAGACTTACAGAGTCTGCAGGTTGAGACTCCGGTCGACATGATACCAGAATCTAAAACTTGGATATGAAACTAGAAAAAATAAAACACTATGGACACCTGTTTGATGTGAAGAGATGCTCAGAGTGAATTTAAAATCTTTTACAAACTAAGGTAACAGTGGATAGAGTCAGAAACCAGAGAGAGAGGACAGTGGATAGAGTCAGAAACCAGAGAGAGAGAGAGGACAGTGGATAGAGTCAGAAACCAGAGAGAGAGGACAGTGGATAGAGTCTGAAACCAGAGAGAGAGAGGACAGTGGATAGAGTCTGAAACCAGGGAGAGAGAGGACAGTGGATAGAGTCTGAAACCAGGGAGAGAGAGGACAGTGGATAGAGTCTGAAACCAGAGAGAGAGAGGTCAGTGGATAGAGTCAGAAACCAGAGAGAGAGAGGACAGTGGATAGAGTCTGAAACCAGGGAGAGAGAGGACAGTGGATAGAGTCTGAAACCAGGGAGAGAGAGGACAGTGGATAGAGTCTGAAACCAGAGAGAGAGAGAGGACAGTGGATAGAGTCTGAAACCAGAGAGAGAGAGGTCAGTGGATAGAGTTGGAAACCAGAGAGAGAGAGGACAGTGGATAGAGTTGGAAACCAGAGAGAGAGAGGACAGTGGATAGAGTCTGAAACCAGAGAGAGAGAGAGGACAGTGGATAGAGTCTGAAACCAGAGAGAGAGAGGACAGTGGATAGAGTCAGAAACCAGAGAGAGAGAGGACAGTGGATAGAGTCTGAAACCAGAGAGAGAGAGGACAGTGGATAGAGTCTGAAACCAGAGAGAGAGAGAGGACAGTGGATAGAGTCTGAAACCAGAGAGAGAGAGAGGACAGTGGATAGAGTCTGAAACCAGAGAGAGAGAGGACAGTGGATAGAGTCTGAAACCAGAGAGAGAGAGGACAGTGGATAGAGTCTGAAACCAGAGAGAGAGAGGACAGTGGATAGAGTCTGAAACCAGAGAGAGAGAGGACAGTGGATAGAGTCTGAAACCAGGGAGAGAGAGAGGACAGTGGATAGAGTCTGAAACCAGAGAGAGAGAGAGGACAGTCTGAAACCAGAGAGAGAGAGCGGGGAATGACATGCAGAAAGGGGCCATGGGTGGAAGTGAACCCGGGCCTACCGCTTGAGACGAGAGTCTCAACACATGGGACGTGCGCCCTAACCATTGCGCCACCAGCGCACCCCTGCTAATGCTATAATTTATGTTACGTTAACAGTTTATTGATGCACACATAATAACATTTTCATACACTTTATAAAGTGTATGAAATGTTATAATAAAGTGTAAAGTGTATGAAATGTTATGATGTATAATAAACTGTTAACATAGTATAAATTATAGCATTACAAATCATTAGCAAACATTATTATCTATCATTTCATTGTTTGTTAACAGTAAATAACTATTAACTAATGGTTAATTAACTATCTATTTAACATTATTTACCCTTTATAGATGATGGTTATTATAAAGTGTTACCCAAACGAAATATAAATAGGTCAAGATCTCGAAAAAAATAACAGTAACAGTTTTTGGAGTCGACCAACTTATCGACCAGCTGATAGTATCGGCCGATTTTAGAATATCCAGTGACTATCAGTATCAGCTCATCTTATCACAGATAATCAATATTACTCGATTTATTCACCATTATTCGAGTTTTATTATATTACACTAGCAGTCAGTTTTCTGTCACCAGCAGAGGGCGCTATATGGATTACAACAAACATCATCACTCTGCAGAATGTGGAGCGGTGATGCTGTTCATGCTCAGTTACTTTCCAGCTGAGTGACCATCTCGTCTTCATTATAAATCTTTACATAAGTGTTTGATAACTGAGGGAAAGACATAATAAAATGTGTAAATTTGTTTTATGTTTATGTTCGTACCTGCCTTAAGACTACGGATTAAATGTGTCTTTTGTGTTATTTCCGGCATATTTACCTTTGCCGGGCCTTTTTGTTGATGTGTTAATAAAGTGCTCCGTCTTAATTCAATAAATAAATAAATGAAATGTCATCCATCACTTTGTATTTCAGTAACAGGAGAGAGTGAAGCAAAAGGAACGAGGTCGGAATCGACTCCATGGCCGCTGCCATGAGGACCCCAGCCTCCGTGCAGCAGTCAGAAGGACCCAAATGAAGACGAGGAGGCGGAGCCTGTGTAGGTACCAGATGTGCCCGGGTGGTCAGATCTGCTTGGGGTCCTTCACCTGCGTTTGTATTATGATGCAGCACGCTGTGATTGGCTGTCAGAGAGTCGACAAGAGAGAGATCGACACTTACACTCTGTCTGAACATTTTTACACGCCAATATTCAAGGTTTGTAATGGCGCCACCTACTGGTAACAGACAGCACGCCTCATGTAACATATTTCACCCGTTTAACATTAAATGACAGAATGTGCTGCACAGATTCAGAGCGTTCATCCACATTCTCCGATCTCTGAAGACCCGTGAGAACTTCCTCTCTAAACGCTCCGACCAACAGCCAATCACAATGTGCCACATCATCATAAGAACGCACAGTCAGTCATAATGTGTAAGGTCACGAGCAGACTGGACTGAGGGCCTTCACAATAAAAGCAGAGGCGTAATGGAGGGATGAAACCAGAGACAAACGGATCCCATAACGAGCCAACAGGAGTCCAAAGTCCAACACCGGGCAAAGTGTCAGGACCAGAATAGATTTAAGATAACGAGGCTGACGAGCCAAGACGAAGCAGCTGCACGATTAAGTAAGCGAACAATCTGGCAGGTTGAACAATAGATTAGACGCCTTTTTGTGATGATGCAACGAGCTACAGGAGCAGAGCCGAGTGGAACAGGTAACTGCAGGACTGATGGAAAGAGGGACACAGGTGTGAGGGCAGGGAAAGGACCGAGGACATCTGGTGGTGAAGCAGAGAATTGCAACTCAGTGGAGGAGAGGGAGACTGATACAGAAAATAACTTCTTAAGTTTATTTCCAAATGTCTGTCACTTTTTTTAATTTTCTTAAAGGTCCAATCAGTGAGTGAGATGATGAAGTGACCTTACTATATGATCAGACATTAAGATAAGATAATCCTTTATTTATCCCACAACGGGGAAATTTACAGTGTTACAGCAGCAAAGAGCAAAGATTGCAAACAAAAAGTGAACAGAGTACAATTTAAATTTAAAAAAAGCAAAATTAGAAATGTACAAAAAAATAGATAGATACCACAATATAGATTTTAAAAAATAGATCAGCTGATCAAACATTAAGGAAACATGCTATGTTGAAGTGCTGGCTTCTCTGACAACAATGCAGCAGCCAGTATGTCCTCCTTCTAACTTTAGATTCTGCTCCTGAATGCTCTGGATTTGTTTGGACCAGAGAAGGTAGGCGCTTTGAAGACACCCCCCCCCCACACGGCCGTTTTGGACACCCCTCGGTTTGTCAGATATGAGAGCAGTTATCAGGTCAACAGGTGTTGCAGCGATGGAAGCGGTCAAGAGAAGTGGTTCAGATAGAAGTGATTGTACCCGACCTAAAAAGCCTCTGCATGTTTCTAATAAGCTCCACGAGCAGAAACGTGCTCAAACTAGGATCAATATTGGAGATGCTTTTGAAAAATGGAGAGAGGTTAGAACACAGAAAGGTTTACAGACCCATGCAGAGCTGGATAAACACTGAAGCTTCAGAGTCCACCACATGGTGACCTGAGTGAGCATCCACTCTAGAGAGGAGGGGGGGGAGACAGCTCTCTATGATGTTTAGAATTTAGACTACAGTACCCATTTTAAACACTAGGGGGCAGAGTTACATACTGCTCCTTTAAGTTTGTATAAATGTCAGCGAATCTTTTAAAGTTTGATTTCACATAAAAAACAGATTTCAAAAACAGGATTGTGTTGAAAAAACAGACAGAAAACAGAAACTTTCATATATCATATTTAATATACCTTTATATAATGTATAAATAAAGAAGCTTCACAGAGAGGAAACATTAACTGTCAGCACTCGTCAAGTGTTTCTAATTCGTTTAGAGGAGAATATACTTTAGACTTCACACTGAGCTCGAGGTTAAATATGAAATAAATCAGAGCACAAATAACGACAGTGTTTTAAACTTTAGAGATCTACGATGGATCAAATGATTTATAATAAATAATAAAATAAAATAAAAATCCCAATTTCCACAAACTCTGTGCTGCATTAGAATTTTGAGTAGAAAGTACATTTCTTTACAGACGAGCTCAATGCAAACAGAAAAAGAAAAAGTCGGTCCGTCAGCGCAGCTCACTACGCCGCTTTTTGCTGCCACACATTGTCGATGTTCCTGTTTCCACAGCGAGCGCCGTCGTCCGTCTCCAGAGCGTGCCAGCGGCGCTGCTACACTCTGCTCTGTTTCAAATAAGTCTATTTTGGATGGAGCTCGCTGCAAGCACGCGTCAAACTGAACAGAATAGATCGACCCAAACAGAAAGTGAGACAAGGAAACGCACAGAGCGTCTGGTTAATTTCAAAATAAAATCCAAGATAAAGACTCCTGATGGTATTTTCCATCACTTTATCAACATGACGTCAAAACAGAATGAACAACAAATCATCAGAAAGACAAAGCTACCATGGACCGCAGGGAGTGTGTGGAGATTGGGAGACCAGGTTTACCGTCAAATCTCTGTACCTGGTTCTCCAGGTGATGTAGTAACCCGACAACAAGAGTCAAAAAGCACCAACAAGGAAATGAAGAATCTCTGAAATCTTAAACACAGCTGTAAAAAAACAAGATTTCAAATTCTTCTATAAACATCTTTCTAAGAAAAGATACATTATAATGTATGTTTGGTCGCTTTATTTTGAAAATCCAAAGGGGGACTGAACACACTGAGCCGGTGTTTGTGTCTCTTTAATGGGTCCGTTTCCTCAGTAACCACGCCCATCTATGATGTCACAGTGTCCCTGAGCACACCTGTACCTGGCTGCAGCTAAGTGAGAATCAAACTTTATTTTGAAAAACATCTTTCATTACTTACTACGATGAGTTTTGGCAGAGAGCTGGAATTCCTTCGGAGGACTTTTACTTTGGTATTGCTGTGCGCGTGTGCACTTCCTGTGTGTCACCACTTGATGAAGACGAGTGCGGCGAGCACTGCGTATCCGAGGATGAGGAAGAGTACTTTGAGCAGCCGGTCCTGTTTGCCCTCCAGCTCTCGGGACAGAATCTCAAAGAAGGTGACGAACAGGAAGGTTCCGGCGGCGAGCCCCTGCAGCACGACCGACACCACGCTGCCCGCCAGCGTCTGCGCCGACTCGATGCCCATCCCCACCACTATCCCCAGAGGAATCATCAGGCTCACCGTCACGCCCAGCTTGGCGGCGTCCTTCATGCCGAGCGACGCCTTAGCCACGCTCACTCCGAGGGCAACGGCGGCCAGCGTCTCGTGCACGGCCACGCCCAGGAAGAGGCTGCTCAGCTTGGCGCCGTCCTCCTGCAGGCCGAGCGCCAAACCCTCGAACACGGAGTGAGCCGACAGAGCGAGGACCAGGCTCGCCAGCCGCAGAGGCCCCGCCCCCGCCAGCTCCGCGGGGCTGAAGTGTCCGTGCTGGTGACCGTGAGAGTGGCGCCTGTCCTCTGACCTTCGCGCTGACGAGATA